TTGGGCATGACAAGAAATTAAACACAAAGGGGGAGACTCCAACAAAAAGAAAAAGTCTTGACAATGATAAGTCAATACATATCAGTTATAACCATCAATGTTAATGGTCTCAATTCACCATTCAAAAGAAATAGACTGGAAGAATGGGTCAAGAAGGAAGATCCAACAATATGCTGCATACAAGAAACACACAATTCAAAAAGAAACTCATAGACTGAAAGGGGTGGAAAATAATACTCCATGCAACAGGAACCCAAACAAAAAGGACTAGCTATCCTCTTTACAGATCAAGTGGATTTCAAATAAAGGGGTGGGGTTGGGGAGGGACTACTACCAAAGTAGATAAAAAAATAAGACCAAACCATGTCCATAAGAAATCCACTTTAAATATAAAGACATACATAAGTAAAAGGGGTGAAGAAAGATATACTGTACTAATAAAGAAAGCGGAACTAGCTATGTTTCAGACAGCATACTTTAAGAAAGCTATGTAGATAAAGAGGAGTATTACATATGATAACAGGGTCAGTATACCAAAAAGACATAGCAATCCTTAATGCATATGTGCTTAACAATAGATCAGCAAAATACAGGATGCAAAAGCTAATAGAAGTGCAAGGAGAAGTAGATGAAGTATTCTATTTGGAAACTTCAACTTTATCGGAAAGGATAGATCTAGCAGGCAGAAAAATCAGAGTTGAACTCAACTGCACCAACAATCAAGTGGATACAATTGACATCTATAGTTTATTTCAGTAACTGCAGATTACATATTCTCCAGCTCACATTCAACATTCATCAAGCTAGACCACAGGGGCCATAAAACAAACCTTGACAAATTAAAAAAATTAGAAATACCTTGTCTTAGACCATAATAGAATTAAATAAATTAATAACAGAAAGATAGTTGGAAAATCCTCAGATACTTGGGATAAAAGTGACTTAACAGAGCTCAGCCGGTCCCAGCACGCAGAAGGAAGCTCCCCATCTGCATCCCAGGCTCCTAGGGCAGTGAAGCTCAGCTGGTCACAAGCACTCGGAAGGAAGCTCCCCCGCTGCCATCCCAGGCTCCTAGGGCCAAGAAGGTGAGCTGGTCCCAGCACCTGGAAGGAAGCTCCCCCACCTCCA